ATGGGATCCTCCGAGAGTTTATAATTTTCTCTCTAATTCCCTCTTTTTTACCTTATTTCTTTTTCTTTTGAAGGATTTCTTCTTGAACTTCTCGATAACAGGACTTCTAAAACTGTTTGAATGTTTTCTGGCCAACATGTACAGCCCAAATACCTTTTGTTGACACAAATTTCGCCCAGGAGTTCAATCTTAAAGGTTTTAATTCATGGCATCCCATATGAGCCCATGAAGTTCGAGTGAGTTGTGTCAGGAAGGACAAACCAAACACACACTTTTTTCGTTGTTAGAGATAGCAACCAAAAGAGAAGAAAACCAAAGAAAAATCCATTACGTGACGTTAAACTTGTTGCCTACACATACACACGACATAGGCAAAGTATAACCACCGACTCCAGGAAAACCACGGATGGATCAGATCCCATAAAAAATAATGAAAAATGCAATCATGATCAGTAAACCTTACCTGCGCTTTCATCGGCATCTCTTGGTTGGTTTGGAAGATCCAACTGTGCTCAGGAAGATTTCCCTTTACTCGGCTTACGAAGCAAGAACAGGGCCATTTTGATGGAGTTTTCAAAAGTAGGATGGTGACGAGCGACCAACCATAAAAGCCTAAATGTTCCACTTGATACTTAAATTTCAGACGCAAGTGTCTACATGAAGATCCAAAAAACCCTTCCTGTGCAAAGAAGACAGTATTTTTGCTGGTCTCTCAGGTCGCTTGGAAATGTTAGTCGAAGAAAGTTGAAAGAGGCTTAGTAGACTGTTAAGAAGGCTACTATGTAGCTACCACTAGGAGGCTCTTTCAGCAGCTTCCCACATTTTGATGGATCAGTGCAAGTAAATGAACCTAGTCATCGCCAATTTCCTCCCCCTGCCGACTTTTAACCTATGGCTTCCTCTCGTACTATCCTGTATCAGAAAAAAAAACCATTCGATCTCATATCTCCCAAACATTCTCCTATGCAATCTCTTCTGCTTTCCCATCGGTATAACCTTACTCCCTTCCTTTAGCGGCAACCTCCCGGTCTGCGGGTCTTCATAGATGCATGAGTGGCCTTAAGCTGTCTGTCATCTTTATTTTTCCATTACCCCAAGGCTTCAGACGAATAATCAAGGCGTTTTTAAAAAAAATATGAACTTTAATATTAAAAATGGTAGGATGAACTCGAAAAGAGAAAATAAAACGCGAAGTTATCAAAAAAGGTGGTTTGAGGAGAAGGAAATACCTAGCTGTTCTACAAACTATACCAATAACGGTTTCTAGGTGAAGGTACAAAATGGAATGAATTCAGGCGATTCTAGGAAACTACTAGTGGGTGGCGATTATCGATACTAAACTGATCGATATCAGCATGAGAANCAGTATCTTCTTGCAAGGATTTTACGGAAATTACACGGGGTCAGAATATTTTTCATTCAGGAATCTCTTTAGCTTACCAATTTCTAGCTTACCCAGACCAGTAATCCACGCGCTTCCAAGGAATTAAGAGAGGAGAGGAATTTAAAAAACAGTGCTGGAACGAATTATTCAAACAGAGTAAGTAAAGACAATTAGAAGTAAATGAATTCAGTCACATCACAAATCGTACTGTACTGATGTTGGTGATATCGAGCCGAAAGACAGAAAATGAAAAATTCACAATGAACAATCCAAAATGAAACCGTCTAGCGGTTTTACGGAACCATTAATGGCAGTGAATTGTCGATATGTACTTGATTGATTGAGGTCAAATGAAAACATTGCAGGGCACACCTACCGCAGGCGAAGAGTGATCTACCAAGCCTACTTCGGAACAGGTTTACAATTTCATATTCCTGTAGTCTATATTTACATCGCCATTGAGCATGTGCTACGGATAAGAGTTCTCGTAACTCTCTTTTACGCACCCACACCCTGCCCAGCTCAGCGGGAGACGGGCGTTAGGAACGATTTTGGGTAATCGATTTGCCGCACGCGGCTGTCGCAGACCACTCACTCGCCGTTATTACAGCTCTAGCGTTCTTCATACAGCTCAATCGATATGCGATCATTATTTTATGCATAATTCTAATATTATTACTTTTGTTCTTGTATTTCTTACCTACTGCTACATCCCGCTGCATTCCTTCGCGCGCGACGCCCCTCTCACCACGACGCGACCATTTCGTTCCTAACGCACCACACCCCAGCTCAGCCAACTTCTTCATGTCCCCGTGGCTTACTCTCTATCGAAACCAATCGAAGCCTTTGATCAACGCTCAATGATCTAATGATTCAATTCATCAGGGTTACATTATTTATAAATGAACATTAGAGGATGAAGGCTTCGTTACTGAATTGTACGCCACTGGCGAAAAAGTCAATAAAAAGCAAAAGAGACTTCAAGTTTAGTACTGTCGACTCTTTCACACTGGGCTAAATGCGTTAAGAGATAGGATACAGTATAACAGTGCTTACCGTGTGGTTCATACCCTGCATCGTCTTCAGGAACCCGCTTCACAAGTTCACTGTGAATACATTTGTGGCACATATAGTTGAGTAAAGAAAGCGATGGACCGTCATTCACCACTGAACCCCTTACGAAACTTCAAATCTACGATGTTCATCCCAAGGATTACTGAGATTGTAATACAATGCCCAGTCGGTGCTACGTAAAAATCTGGCGCGTCTCCGAAATTCGCTGTGGGACCGCATACTGTAACCCGCGCTCATGTGCTTAGTTGCAGCCGGCCTGAATTTAGTTAAATATATTATTATTTTCCTGAACGAAAGGAAGAGATGTCTTGTCAATAAATTTATTGGAGGTTTTCATGAACACTTGATCTGTCCACTGTTCAGTTAGTACCAACCAGTATTTTCTAAACATTACTCTGTGATGGTGACCACGTCGTTATTTTCCTCTGTTTCCTTTCGNTCAGGAAAATAATAATATATTTAACAAAATTTAGGCCAGCTGCAACTAAGCACATAAGCGCGGGTTACGGTATTGCGGTCCCACAGCAAATTTTGCAGACGCGCCAGATTTTTAGTTAGCATCTACCCAGCCAACGACGGGCCCTATACTTTTCTGATAACTCAAATATTTCAAACCGATCTTCGATTTCAAGTAACTCTACCTCAGCTGAGCTGGCCATAGCTACTCCTACCCTTTTTCGTAAATATTTCGCTCACACTGAGAACTATTGCTTATTTTTTACTCAAAAAGCTTCGGTCATGAGCTATTTTGAAACGGATTCCAATTATTTCAGTATTAGTGTTTGGCCATCACTGGTGTACCTCCTCTCTTTCATCTCAAATCGAAGCTACTGCCCTATAACTTTTTCGGTATCAGGCTGTCCAGCATCACAATATTTTGCTTGGGCTCCACCATTCTGACGAGAGTTCCACCTATTGCATAGACCATATTCCTTAACTAAAACCTACTAAATAGCAAAGGGCAAACCCTCTTTGTCGTTGCTCCCAGTAACCTGGCCAGTTATGGCTAGTTAGATGTTCAAGGTTGCATTTTGAAAGACGAAAACGAAGCGATGAACCGATAGCCACAAGCGGACTCCCCGTGAACAATAAGCAATGTTTCAGCTCATAATGTTTATCAGTACTGATACATCACGATGATGACACTTGTTTACAGAATCACNCATTTTGAAAGACGAAAACGAAGCGATGAACCGATAGCCATAAGCGGACTCCCCGTGAACAATAAGCAATGTTTCAGCTGTCACTGTTTATCAGTATTGATACATCACGATGATGACACTTGTTTACAGAACCACAAGTTGTTCCGGAAATAATTGATGTACTTTCTATACTATACATTCCAAGTTAATCGTAAAACTACGTAATTAAGCAGTTCATTTCGAAATCACAACGCGAAAGGGCCAACAGCACGGCAGATACACAGTCGCTTTTACAAATACTTCATAGAAAATGAGATGCGGATGGCGTTGCCAAGTGGTGTCGCTCCTATACGAATAGTCTGGGAACCTTACAGCTCGATATCCGACCAGAACAATAAGGCCATTCATTTCCCACGGCCACTAACTCGATACTGAACACATCCAGAAGGGAATGGTGCAACGGCTGATTTCTGTATGTGATTGTAAGAGTCATTTACGCATTCAAACATTACCACCGATTTGGGTGAAAGTTGAACGTAACGGCACACCCCGATCTCGGCTTAATCAAAGTCGAAAGCTTGAATATCTTATCTAAAAAGAGATGTCAACCGCTGAATGACGGTGACCCTCTGAGACGAATATGAAAGTAGTTTTGCTTCAGAGAAACTATGACTGAAAGAATGTTCCTTTTGAGTGATCGCATGGAACCAGAAATCAACGAGGGTCGCAAGCTCTCAAATATGAACTAGGGTCGCAAGCTCTCAAATATGAACTGGTCAAAACTTTTCTTTTTTCATCTTTCATTCAACAGGCTTTCGTTGGCCATTATATCCTTTGTTGAATGTGCTACGCCTTTTTCACCCATTCAAAATCATTGGGGCTTTCAGGCTCCCCTCTACACTAACGACCTGTGCAGGGCAGCTGATAGGTAAGTCGGGGTCTTTCTCTTCTGGGGCCGTGAGGTATGCACTCCTGCTCGGGGCTGGGACGCCCCGCTTCGGGTCTCTCTCTCTGCTCTCCCCGAAAGCATCTATCTCTCTGCTCTCCCCGAGAGCATACCTTACCGGGAAGGGGTCCCTCCCCTGTTCGGGAAGCATACCTTACGGCCCCTGTACGGACCTAGCGAGGGAAAGTTTCTTTGAGTTGGGTGGATAGATCCAGGACTCAATCAGTCCACTATCTATTCTTGTGGTAGCGGCGCCATATGACATCATTCCATCTCAGCAAGTAAATGCGGCCATTTGAAGACATGTTGATTTTCCCACTTTGCATCTCCACTTCAAATACAAAGTGTGAATTGATCTCTACAGAACTACCTTCGAAGCTATACGAAAATCGCTGCTAACTATGTATGTACAAGTAAGGACTATCAAAAAATCACAAAAAAATACAGTTTTATGCTATCGCTTGCATACGAATGGCTTGGTTGCGAGGCAGTAAACATCCGTCCACTCCCCGCTTGACAGCATTTCCACACAATTTTCATCGTGACCGCCGTTGTCCGGTTGTCCTAAATATTAAGACTCAAGTAGGTTTCCTTCAATAAGACTTTCAAAATACCCAGTCACGATCACGCTCACAACGTGCTATTTGACTTGTTCGAAAAGTCACCTCATGTCCGGGGCAGCTCATTAATTTGCTCCCTCCCAGGTTTCTAGGTGGAAATTTTCTCGAGAAGATCAGCAGCTTTCTGAGGTTAGCACATGAACACCACCCCACCAGACACTCAATGTAGTCTTTCTGATCAAACCGAAATCCCACCTGGAGAGCCAAGGAGTACAAGAGCTATTATTATCTTTTTCAATGGGTAGCTTCTCGTGTTTGNCCCCCCCCCCCCAGACGCTCAGTGTAGTCTTTCTGATCAAACCAGATACCACCTGAATAACCAAGGAGTACAAGAGCTATTATTATCCTTCTCAATGGGTAGCTTCTCGTGTTTGGGGGCCCACTGCTAATTCTGTTCACGCTCAGTAAACTCACCTCTTTTGAAGTTTTTGAATACTACTGGAGTGCGATCGGTATTCACAAATATATTTTCCCGTTGTACATCGTTCACACCAATCCAAGCACTGCCACCTTGTAGAAGACCTTAGAAGGAGTCGATTTTATTGAATGAAGATGTACGATCACTTCAGAAATTAGATTCTTCAAAGGTAGTTCGTAGAACGTAGACGAGTAGGGAAAGATTAGGAAATTATTGAAAAACCAACTTCGAACAAATTCGTTTTCCTTCATATCCGAGATCGACGTCAAATGACCACCCCAAGCAAGACAATCATCCTCAGCTTTGTACCATGAATTTCCAAGCTGTGAAAGATATGACTAAATGGAATTAGTTCTGTTTCCAAAACTAGCAATGAGTTCATGGTTTGACTGAGCTGCTTAGTCACTAGAACGCCGAATAGGTTATACCGTAGAAGACGAGGTATGGCTATGTGATTTTAGGTCTGCTGTTCGGTATATTCTACTGAAAGTGTGCATGATTGTCTCCAGACAAGGTTCTCATGCATGAAAACAATTGCTCTCACAGAAAGGTGGTGATGTAAGGGTTCGGATGGTTGTACACTTGCCATTGAAGGCAGTAAAAGTTTGTCGAAAAACGCTGCCACTATAAATAATTATTATTATTGTAATATACCTTCATGTAAGCGTATTCATACGGACCACGTTTATGGACCCTCGCAGTGAACAAATCGAGACGCTTCTGAAAATTAAAACAAATCAACTCTCGAACAGTAACTATACAAGCAAAACCAAGACTTCATCGGGTTTCTCGTTGATGTAAGTGACTGTAAAGTCCCTGGCTGTTTTCCTCCCTGGCTGTTTTCTAAAGCTCCAAGCAATGTGTTTCATATAGGCCGTAGAAGTTACACATAGGGGATGGGAATCCATAGAGCAAATGGGAAGACGCCGTGAGAAGACGTTGACAAATATCACATGGGTAGAGTGAGAAGAGTAGAGTCTACATATGGCACTATGGCAAGAAAATCTGCTATAAAATCTTGCCGATGACACTTTCAAGAGGATCTTTTTAAGCACAAATAGGATAGAATGATATTAGCCCATTGGCGTCCACGCTGCTATATTGTCCTTACATTAACCTTTATTTTCTCTTATATCTGTAGTCAGAAATGAATGATTCCTGGACCGCAATGCTCCAAGATTCTCTAGAAGGCTGTGAGCTCAGTTGATACATGAAAACATGAAAAAATTATAGGAACACCTGATAATTAATATAAATACCCCAGTGAGCTAAAAACGTGCGTCCTGGCATTGGGACGCATGGCATGGTCGCCAACGTGTTAAAATAATTTCCATGACCTTCTCCACGTATTCGAAAAAAAAGGGTTGTAGAATTAGGTAGTGAAGGGATAGTTAGAATGGGGATAGAAAATTCAAAGAACTCAGGCATAAGTTTTGGGCAACACCATTGGAATTCAGAACACTCTCAAAAGTGGAGCAAAAGAAAAACTAAAGCAGGATCATTAGCTGAGGTAACGATACACCTAATGCGGAAATACAACTTTTTTAGTGAATGAAAGCATAGGATAACAGAGGAAGTTACATAAACTGAAAATACTAGCGAAACTGATCAATTTCTGAGGTAGGGAAGGAGGCCAAGCTTCTTTAAAAAACGACCATGAAATATGACGGGATCTGTTTTCATGAAGTAGCTCTGTAGATCTGGCAATAAACAGTAGCAATATTGGATCGATGTCGAAAAATATCAAAACAAAAGCAAAAGAAATATGAAAAGAGGGGCATGTATGGGGCATTTATAAACAATAAAAGTAAAACTGTTCATATTTTCTCCCGAACAAGTTCTAAAAACAAGTTGTCTACTGTGATGCGGAAGTGGAATGCGAGGAACTCCGAGAGGTAGTCCAAAAATGGTAAGAAGTAAATAAGGCCGCTACAAATTTTCGGGGCCAAAATCCCTTGGAAATTCTACGCTTATGAGGAAATCCTGGGTTGAGAAGCCGCAGAACTAAAGTTCATTCTTTTTTCAGTTCAGGTTTCCCCCATGAGGGTAAAGTCTTTGTCAATAAAAGAAGAACCGTTAACAAAATCAGTAATAAGGTAGCATCACGTATTCGTGGATAAAATAAACAAACAAATAGAATTGGAAACCATACCATCACTATTTTGAAATCCTTTTCATGTTTGTTCGACAAAAAAGTAAAACTCCGATCGGATCGGATCTCAGCTCTTCTTAGATCCTTTTCGAAACGACTCTGGAAACACAAACAAAAGATCCTCTACTGTACCGGACAATCCTACTCAATCATTCCAGCTCATTGGCGGGCCAGATATGCTTGAGCTCAAACCCACTAACATACCCAGTAATGATTGAGTATATGTAACTATACTGTCGATGAAAACCATCAGAATTAGCTATATTTGTCTCCAAAAATGCATAGATGCATGGAAACAACGCCTGACTCTTTGGAACTTTTTAACAAAGTTTCCAAAGAATCGATCGATGAAGGAAAGATTTCAAATTATACCTGAAAACTGTCGAACTTCCGTTTATAATCATCCTCGATTCGCTCTCGAATCTGATTTAGTTTCTCATTCAACTGTCTAGTAAGGTCCGCTAGAGTTTTCTCCAATCCTGGTTGGCCTGAAACTCCCATATTGACCGTTTCAATCCCAGCCTGACTATTATATATCACAAAAAGTTTGTATTGGCAATAGAAGCAGTACCTGGTGCCGATACTTCTAACGTAATAGTATAATTGTTATCAATCGGAGGAGGTGGAGGAGTTGAGAATTCAATGTAATTTTTCGAATATCCATAATGGTCCGCCGTTCGAATACCTGAATAATCAGTGGTCTCGAGGGTTCTTCAGCGAGACTAAGCCATGAATTCAGTTTAAACTACTACTTTCTTGTTGAAATCCCCTAGAATTCTGCCAGCTTTTCACACGAGAACAACACTTCTGGTTTATGCAAAATAAGTTAAATTTGGTTGCAATAGTTTTTGCCGGCAGGTTATTCCGCTTATACTCTCCTGGGTTATGCAGAAATTCCCATCTGGGAGGAACTGAACTTTCAACGAGGAATTATCAGCCACAGGTGGTCTCATGACGAAAGCACTTCATGGGAACATGTCGATGATGAACTTGTCAAACGTTGCGGTCATTTTACACCGTAAAAACTGAGTTGCTCAGGTTACATTGAAAGAAACTGGTAAACAGGAGATTTATTGGAAAACATTTAGTGCGTGGGAAATGAATAAAAACGCTAGCTATAGGATTCCCTAAGATTGGAGAGCAGAACGTATTCAAGTGGTAGCTGCAATATGGTGTGCGCAGTCAGCTCGCGAAAAATGGGCGAAGATAAGGAAAAGGCAAAAGGAGCTGCTGCTGTACCTTCAGCCCGGGTCAAACCAACTAGTTTTTGCTTAGACCTTTCAATTTTTGATTTTCAAACCAGAAGTGAGAAGCAATACTTTATCAACATAAATCTTACCCAAGGAAGAAAGTAAAGTTCAAGGGATAGCGTTTTGACAATGAAGGACTCCGTTTTGGGATAAGCCAATCGACTTCTACTTAGGACCGTGGTGTCGGTGTAGTTGGACTGTGTACGTGGCCTATACTTGCGGAGGGCAGCTAGTGGACAAGCTATTGCTCTTACCCTCCTAGAAGAGTTTGGCCATACTGGAATGATTGAAAGCCTGCTTTGCCTGGGCCAGTATCGAGCCGGTATTCGATCCCTGCATCAGTGGTGCGCTACCTGGCACTACACCACCGCCTAGGGAAGATAGAGGATTATACGGCCGATACAAATATTAATCGATCCAGGAAGCTAGGTTCAAAGTAAATGCTCATTTCAATGACTCTTCGATGCCCAACCAGTTGTCAGATGTACGGCTCAACCGGAAAAAAGTGAGGAAAGAAAAATTTTATCAAGTTTCCTACTCACCACGACCTTTCACAAAACGCTTGCACTGCGAAAGCTCAGCACGTAGACAGCGAATTTCTGCCGACCAGTTAAGACCAAAATTCGAACAGGCAGCCTCCTCTTGGGCAGACCGACCATTGACCAGAATAAGTACATGGAGAAACAGTAGGAGGAAATTTCGTAGCATATCAATCTTACCTGCAAAAGTGACTTGCATGATGTAGTATGATTATTTGCATTGAAAACATGAATAGGATAAGGCCTGAGTGTGGAACTGGTAAACATGAAGGGTTAGGTGTGGGTTGGAACTGGTAACTGATCCGCTAGTGCGAAAGGTACCAAAAAAATTCACATAACGAGCCGCAGGGAAGAGGATCTGCATCGGAGCATGTACTATGGAGTGTAAGAGTCGCGAGGAGGGCTGGCTCATAAGTACCCTAGGATTTTAAAGAACAGACTTAGCGACAATGTGTTGTGAGTGACAGAGATAGAAGAGTACATTACTAGATCAGCTGACAAATCAGCTGCTATGTGATGCCCCACATTCATCATTGTGAAGGCGTGGTTCCGGTGGAGGCGTTCGTAGCGGACTCTGAACTCGGGGTACTCTACAGTGGGACCTACTTTTGCTACGACAACGTCTTGTGACGTTCCCTGTTCTCACCAGCTCCACCTCCGTGGTGTTGATTAATCGTGAAATTGTCCTCTCCTCAAATAAAAAAAAGGTAGCGACAGGGAACAACGACAATGTGAAATGGCGCTGATCAATTCAATATTGCCTCTCGTATCCCCGTTCTTTCTTCAGGCTCCTTTTCTGGGAGTGCTATAGAATAGACCGTCATTTTCATGAAGAACCCTCAAAAATTTGTAGGAATCACAGATAAATGGAGCCTTATTTTGGCATTCAGGCCTTCTTTTCATCTCAGAAAAGAGAAATACGTTAACGCTCTATGTACAGCGATCAGAATAAGATCTGCTGCATGCATGGCACATCTACTATCCAAGATAAGTCAAACATCAGCAAAAGGCCAACCAAGAGAAGCGAAAGAAAGTCGGAGCACGCACCCGCTCAAGTGGAAAACGCCTACCGTATTAGACAAAGGTAGTCCGGCAGCTGTACTACTAAAGGGATTCGAAAACAGAGCCAGGAATGGATTCCAGTAAGGTTCATCAAGCTTTCTAAGTAATAAATCACCAAAATGCCACTGTACACGACAATCAGGAACTATAATAAAATGTCCCTAAAATTCGAGAAGGAAATTTCGTGCAGCCTATTCCTGAGTGAAAATGATTTACACCGAATATTTTGTACTTTCGACGTTGGGACATCGCTTAGTGATGGAGTAACAGCTAGAAATAGGCCAGGCAGAAGCAGTGAAACTCCTCCATCATAGAAAGCCCAAACAATCCATCATGATTCTCCACTTCTTAATAATGTCGCTCTGACAACGAGTTGTAATGGCAAATCGCTTCGACAAACTTCCAACGATGTTTTGATTCACCTTTCGAGGCCAATTGAAAATTCCATCGAAGGATCCATCATTTGCGGCTGTTCGGAAGAGTAAACAAGCTCCATGAAACCTATGGACGGATGAAAAATTCCATAAATTTTTCCGTTGGAATGGTTGAGAATAATTATTCAGAAGTTTAAAGTTCCAAAAAATTCTAGGTTCGTCAGCATGAAAGCCAGCTATCAACAATTTTCATCTTTATTGAGGCTATTGGCAGGCTATGATAAGATTTATGGTGGATATTCGGGGTACAAAGTGGAAATAATGATGTTCAATACTGACTGAGAAAGAGTTTGGAAGGGTCTGAAGGGTGGGAAGGGATGAACAAGGGGAAAACATTCCGCAGGCTTAAGCTATTGAGCGCAATGGGCACAATCGTAGACTAACATAAATCATCAGCCCTAAAAGGAGGTAAACAACTAAAAAAAATCATCGTTGATAGAAATTCAATCACTAAACAATCCTACTGCAGATCAAATAATTCAAAGCTTGCCAGTTACTTTTACAAAAGAATTTAGGTAGGGGAAATATAGGCTTCAATAAAAACAACAATAATTAAAGCAAATAAGGAGTCAATATGACCTTTTTACAAGCAAATCCTAGGTTCTTGATGGTTCCAGACAATATACTATGTATGTCACGGCAATGTATCAGGGCCATCTGTCGGCGTGAAGCAGAAAGTTGGTTTTCTGATCCATTAGGCTTCCCAAGCCTGCTAATATTTATAAAGACTAGATCTAAACATCAAATGTGGCACTAAATATATCTACTTGTTTGCTGTGCGACAGGGAACAAGACGTTTGGCTAGATGGAAGATAAGCGTTGTATGTCATGGCCAAGGTCCTTTGCTAGTTGCCCTCATAAATTGCAAATGACAGGAACGTGACATTAGTGAAGCTGAAAGAGACCACTACAAGTCATAGGATTCCGCTGAGCGGTCAGAAAGGAAACGAAAGAGCAACAGAATGGAAATGCCTTCAGCGAAATCGGAAGACGGAGTGTCTTCGAAAGCAGTGCGTGGGATAAAGGAGGTGGATCGAAAAAGAGATTGATGGCAAAAATCGCGAAAAATGGACAGGTAGAAATATCGTCGTATATTTGACTTCATAGGCAAAACTGCGATGGTCCAAGGAGCACTCTTACCACCTGAGTGAATCCAGTTAAAGAGTCCGGAGAGATATGTATGAGCCTCCCCTCCTTATAACCATTGATATAAAAAACTTGATTTAAAAGTCATCAATAACTGAAAAAAATCTTAAATCATAGAAAGTCATGGCTACAAAGATTATGAGACACAGTAAAGTTAAGACGGTTCCAGGGCTTGCAGAGATATTCTGCAAGCTGAGAGCTAATTAAAGTGATGAAGCATCCTAACAGTTGCCGAGAGGGATGAAAATGAATTGGTAAGGAAAGAGAAAAAACCTAGGCATTCCTCTAAAACACATATATCACATAAAAATTGATGGGTTGAGGAGAAAAAAAGGTTTGAGGCATTCCCAAGACTCATTTATCAATCTGGCGAATCTCGTCGAGTACCATGGAATCATCAATTTCCCAGCCACAATCTGATAAGATCAGCAACAAAACCTCTGCAGTGATTAATATCATTAATTAGAATTCCTCTATAGAAAAAATGAATTCATACAACAGGTGGACTGGCCACACCCTCCACATTCTTAAGCACACGGCTGCGATGTGTATATGTAGAATGATGGCATGAGGTTCAATTTAGCCGTATCAACCCAGTCCTGTCGGATTTTAGTAGATTCATATACTCTGGCGATACTTTAAAAAGAGCAATCTGCCTCTTACAACAGAATATTGAAAACAATTGATTTCTGTGGGGGTTTTTTTTTGTCAGAAACAACGCCATAAGCGGAATGTAGTCACTCGTTTTGGATGCTTATCCTATACTAGTTGATTTAGACTGGAAAATTATTTATATCGTAATATCAGCTAGTCCATTCATTCTGCGATTAGCTGGAAATCAGTGCGATTTAAATGAAAAACTGATACAAAGTGGCAGAAATCGGCTCAAGTGGACGTGAGGGAGCCGTGCCTTAATCAGGTCCTATGCTTGGCCTCAATTCTATCCCAAACATAGAGCAGGAGCGGACTTTGGGAATCACTTGCTTCGGCATATTTGTTTGTTCCATTCACCGCTTTAGATTCGTAAGGTTGTCAAGTCCTTAATCTACCCTCAGAAATCTTAGAAATTCATGGAAACCATCATAATGGCAACTTCAACTGATGGATTATTTTCTACCTCAATACCTGTGTGTGGCGTAAAGTTCTGCCGGCACTAGACTTTGAGGATAAAAATGAATGTTCTGCCATTGGCATCTTTCATAGTCCACGATCGGTCGCGCGACTGGTCGCCAGTCGCTAGCGACCGGCGACTAGTCGCGCGATCGGTCGCGCGACCGGTCGCGCGACCGGTCGTGGACTATGAAAGATGCCATTGAGAGAACACATTTTGGGATGCTCACTTATTCGGCATTCAATCAGGAGTATTCGAACGCGTACTTTGCCCATGCATTTACTTGTCCTGCACTGGCCTACGGATCAGCTCAGTCCAGTCGACTAATCTATCATCCGAATGGAAAACTTCGTTTGTCTGAGCGAATATCAAACCGAGATTCGTTCCGTCGACTAACATTTTCTTGCGGCGCCATTCGAACATTTGGCAAAATATATTCCACTAGAGCTCTGTGCTACAATGACATCGTCAGACAGTAACACCATGTTTTTGCCAAACCAAATGTTTACCCGCATCCTGGGAAGAGAGAAAGGCATATACTCGTAAGTGATAGAGGACAGCACTGAAACGAAGGTAATCTTTTCAGGCCACAGGCCAGAGGCTAACCAAATTCGAAGCGTCGTCCGAAAGTCCTACTGGAAAATAATCCTGTAGAAGTATTTTCGATTACTTATGATACGATGTATGCAAGACAATTACAGTCAAGAGGTATGTAGTTTCTCACTGATCAGGGGAGGTGGATCACGGCGCTACACGGCGACTAGTCCCCAACTTATTGTAACTCAGACGCAAGTCACGCCCCTTTTGAGCGAACTTTTGCTTGCGAAAGGACCAGCTCATCGAGCTGTGCAAAAATTTTGTTGTTGACCATATTTGTGATAGGCAAACGCTTTCTTGTAGCACCACTAAACGGAGGACTCTACATATTTTGCGCCTCAAGGAGCGAACGAACCTGTCGTCTCGGAAATAACATGTGAACAAGTAATGTTTGTGCTCCGTATTTCACATCAGGAATTCTTCACCCAATAACATGGGTAATATGCAAAAACGAAATTACAAGATTTTTGGTTCGCTCCCATCCGTGCTGGACTATTAGCAATTCATTGATCATGTCGCTAGAGAGGAGGGAGGAAAAATGTTTCGATAAAAAACTGTAGGAGTAAAATACATGCCGTAACCGCTTGCTAGAAGGTGCCAGCTGTACGAAAAGCAAAAATGGGGTTAAAAGTGCATTACATAAAATATTGAGCATTCCTTTCCGCAGAAAGAACTTCAATTCTGGCAAACAGGCAGACGAAAACATTGATCGAAGATTTTTCAATAGTCGTGATGACCCCGACCCAGTCATGGAAGCTATCGCAATGTATGGAGCAGTATAAGGCAGTGGACAGGGGGCTTCACATTTGATTTATGGATTTATTAAAGGAAGTACAAGCTTTCAATTCCAAAGCTGTTCAAATCCACAAAACTCTCACCGTCAATAGAGAGCAACTTTTTCCGTGTATACGGTGAAACAGACGAAGGTGGTGTAGAGGGTCCGGGATTCCAATATACCTTTTACAGCCTTCTTAGCAAGCAAGCAATGCATCCCTAATGTCTCATATCTGATAACAGACTTTCCTGGAAGAACAAATCCCCTGACTTGTGCATAGGCTGACACTGGCAAATCGTTTCTACGCAGAACACGCATGTATACTGCTTTGAAAGAAATTGAATACGTAGGCGAATTTGGAATCGACATTAATCAACCCATGAAATTTCATCTTTTCTTGGACGGGTGCTACTGTAGTGGATGCAATTCACCTTGTAACACAAATTCACAGAGTGCATCACTATATCGAAGCAATTCGTTGGATGGAAGTGTTCACACAGACGCTATGAGCCATCGACTTTTTTTAGATGCAAGTGGCTGAAAAATGACACGCGAAAGCCGAGATAGGAGTGGTACCAGCAATCTACCCGATCCCAGACATTAACAGGCAATTTCCCCGACAGAAACATTTACTATGTAACCAAGAGATAATGCAAAAGTATTCGCGGAAGTCAGCCAATGCTTGGGAGTTAGCTTTTACAGATGATGCTACCACTTGCTTGAAGTTGGTCCTTTCAAATAGTAAGCAAAAGTAAATGAAAGTAAGGTTGTAGAGTAAGTCTCTGACTAGGTGCTCCCGCCTGTCCTTCAGTTGCAACCCGAATTGAGGAGACATTTCTATTGGTGACCTGAGCTAGAGTTTAAGCGTCTTCTCCACAGAGTTACAGTCATGTTATGTTTATATTTATTCGTATTCCTTCAACTCTTATAAGAAGCAGTATGCATAAAAGAAGACTCTTGTTTCTAACATAGAACGCTGGCCATTTCCAGAGAGCTCAAAAATTGAAGGAGATACAGTCACAACTCTGCAACTCCGATAGATGCAGGCTGTCCTCTTTGCTCACTTCACTCCATATTGAGAAAGTGGTGGCTGAGCATTTGATGGGCAACTTTACGTTTTGAAAAGCTAATCGACGTCCTGTCCTTTCGGTACAATCGACTGAACGTGTATCACTCGATTTATACAGAAATCGTTCAGCGTGATCGTGACCTTGCCACGCCTCTCGAGTACGTACCGCCCTTCCACGAAACTCGGTCGAGAAATCGGCTATTAAGCCGCCCAAAATTTAGTTTTTTGTTACCCTGAGAAATTTATAAAACTATTTTTTGATCTAAGTTATGATTAGAAACTGTGAACAGCATTGCGTTTTCTTGGCATCGAAGTTGTGTATTCTCTTCATGAGTAAAACGTTTACAGCGTATTTTGTACGGGTTTAAGTCCGTGGTCCAACACAAATCAACACCTAACACATGAAATGACAAGTAAATAACGGGTGGTTCATTTGCTACTAGTTGTTGCGCACTCAGTGGAATGTATAAATAAATAAATAAATAGAAATGGTCCAGCACGTATAAGGTAGGATGCGATTCCGAAAGAACGAGATATGGGGGAACGTTTGGTGTTCTGAATTAAGGAAGAAATGCGGCGGCTGAGCAGGAGACCCTCTCCCTGGTGGTTCTGAATTCGGCTTCGACTCCGAAATAAGAGCAACCGCCCTCCACTTCCAGCTTATCTAGTACAAGCTCGCTTTGGTACAAAATACTGGAGACACTGCTTCGGAGAAAAATAAACAGTGATGAAGAACTTGATCGAAAAAAAAATAGAAGAATCCCTCCGACCAAGAAGTAGGATAGTACAGAGTCCGACCTCTCTGAAGACGTTGCCCTTGAGAAAATCAAGTCTGTAGCACAACGAAAGATGGGAGTACGGGGAGAAAAAAAAAATGGAAATCGAAGCCTTCAAGAAAGAGACAACCATCGCAGGGACTACCAACTATTCTACAAAAGCCTTGCTAAAATCTCTCTTTTAAACTCTAAGAGGGAGACATGAAAAAACTGCAGCAGACGCTACGTCGATGAACCCTAAAGGACTCGCAAAAGAATACGGTAATCGCCAATTCCTACTTCCAAGGCTTGCGACCAAACTCCTGATTACCCCTAGTCGCCACCGGCACCGAAGAGTACTTAGTACCGGAGAGTTCGTCACTAAACGTTATCTCTCTCATTTATAAAGCAGAAACTTGGTGTGTCGGTTTGTCGGTTTGTGTGTTTGTCGGTATGTCGGTATGTCGGTGTGTCCGTCCGCAAAAGTTTATGATTACGATAAGAGAGTGATATGGAAAAGCCAGCTCTATCCTACATTCCTCTACATTTCTACACTTAAGGGGGGGGGGGCATTTCTAACTGATTAATAAATGTAAGGGATGAGGGCCCGGCGTAAACCGGGCGGCCCAACTGGTGATAAGAATAAAGGACAATATGCCAATGTTGATCAATCCTTTCCAGGATGTTCTATTCTCTCAAGTCTAAAGTCTTGAGGCGTTGATCAATCGCGCTCATGTACTTGACTTCCACTCAAAATCATAGCGGCGTTTGGGATGCGTACGTACTAGAACTTACATTGGCCAGCCAATGCACATGCCAGTCCCTTTTGCCCTCCCACAGGAGTTTGTTATCAAATAGCCGATGCCAGAGGGATGGAAGGCTTGAATAGGCTAGGGCGAGTATAGATCCGGGGTTCAATCTCTCGACCATTCGCGTGATAATCTGGACCACTTGCCCCTGCACTATTCCCACCGGAATGACTGTAAGACGAACAGTCGCCCAATTGTCAGCTCACTGATTGTGAGCTGTGCAAAAAATTCTGGATTTTTTCACTTGTATACCAACGAACCAGTCACCGGATTCTACAAAAAAAAGTTAATAAAACGTACCTTCAATCACTGATTGAAGTAAACCACGTCATGAACTGGATCAAATCAAATTTCCTGTTATGATACGTACAATTCACGGGTTCTACTTTATCGCTTAACGTGTGGTTATGATCTTTGTCATGGCAAGGTGATATCGGACTAGGAAGTGAGAGCTATACCAACTATTTCAGGGCAGCATGCCATGATATGACATGAACATCAGGACATCTATCAAGGGGCATCGCATGTGGCGAGACAACTAGCTAGCAAATGGCCAGAATGAAGAATCCGCTCCTGAACAAGGCTAAGGTCTCATACAAAACAAACATTGGGTCTCCAATCTACAAGTCACCCTTACGCAACCTATCCAACCCTTTCCATCTGTCACCTCCATGTGTACTCATAATAATCAGCTTGAAAAGCTGTTCAAAAATTAAAAGCCAGGAAATACGAACATAGTCGTACGCTCCTGTATGCTCATCCAGCGCTTCAGACCCTACACGTTGACATTTTAAGAAGCTCTTGCATGTCTATAATGATCTCAGATCAAAAATCGTCAACCTGATTCGTATTTTTCGCGGGTTTGCGTCCAATTACAAAAGGGAGGAATGCATACGTTTATACTTGTGAATAGAACTGCATAAGCAAATGCGAATGTCATGCTTCGATATGAGCGTGTACTTGTACAAACGTTCATACACATGTGCCTGAGTATGAATTTGCATTCGTTGATAGGTATTGAAGGCATAGTTCACGATAAAAATGGTTACTGAGTTCTGCCCTCAGGAATACCCACTGAACCCCCAAGGGTAATAGGAAGGACCCTCTCGCACCGAAAAACTCGACGGTTAGGGCATAGTGGGAGCCCCGTTCCCGGCTCGCGCGGCCTTCCCCGTCACGTCAGATGAGTGTCGAGGCGAAACGGATTGCAAGTATTCGCGTCAGGACCTACACAAAATCAGCTGACTGCCGAGTGATGAGGCGATGCTTCTCTCCCATCCTTTTTTTTTCTGTATTATTCTTTTCCCTGCAGCGATCCCTTAATTAATATTCTACCACAAGAGGCTGAAAAAGGTGAGATATTTTTGCTGTGATTAGGGTTTTTGTGAACATATACTTATAATTGAATGAATTCTTGCTTACCGTAGTGAGCTATTCGCACCAGGACCACACGTACGCAATGAGACACATTGTATAGCTTGTCCAAACACCCCATTCATCTTCATTTTTTCGGTTTCATTTTCATACAGCCCCCTTTTCAACGATTTTTCGAGTCCTTTTCTACCCTCTCTACCCAAAATTATAGTGAACTGTGCCTTTGACGCACATATTTGCAAACCCACATTTGTGTGCACGTGCACATTTCCACGTCTACCCAAGTGCGCGAGTGTACGCCTAGTTTGACCTGGTTTAGATAGACGCGCGCAACGAGACGCACCCCCAGGTCAGGTGGAAATATGCTTTTGATTACTGTACATGTATAAATACACAGTTCTCTGAGGCATTACAGAACCGTAGTTGCTAAGTATGGCGGCAAGACTTCTCGGATGGGGCCCGTCCCTTACGGAGCACTTGCAACAACGATTGAAAAAAGTATTTAAAGGACTTCGGAATTTTTATGAATTATATAATTTTTAGATAAGTCAAAGACAAACTTTTTTTCATGGCTTAGCAGCTGCCACAACAAGTAAGGATGAGGGAACACTGATGGGGAACGTCAATTCTACTTGAAATGCTAACAAAGAACTCTAAAACCCGCAGTCAAAGAGTATTTGGCGTGCATTGCCTATATATGTGACTAGCCACTTACCACTTTGTGAAGAAATAGAAAAAAAGGAATTCAATGAACGGAAAATCACTTTCGCCTACGCCCAACGGATGGCAGAAGCGGTCTTGGAGAGGAAGAACTCTCAGTAGAACAGTGCAGAGCCTACCCATATCGATAGAGTTTAGCTGTTCGTGTAGAATAGAAAACGGGTAATAGAACAACCACAGTCCTACCGAAAAAAATCTGTCCTTATAAATCATCGATCGGTGACAAAAGAAGCGAATTTGTCGCATCGGCAAATGGAGGAAAAACATAAAAAGAAGTGAGAAGCGATGTGGAACTTGACAGATTCAAATCACGTGTCGGTGATCGAAAACGATTCATCGTCACAAAAAATAGATTGGAAAATGAACTCACAAGAAGTTCGGGATTCGTGGAACTCGTTTGCCTCATTTGTGATGACGAGGACAAGGAGCAAAAGCTCTTTGCAAAGTTTTCATATTCTGAAAAATTTGGTCGACTCCCACTTTTTCCACAGTACCCTATTGTCAAACCTACAATAATCTTTTTCCATGGAGAAAAAAAATCCCCAATCATTTTCAACTACCCAAAAGTGTGAAAAATGAGTGGAAGCCTAATGACTGTCCTTTAAAAATCGAAACTTACTCGAATCCCGCTACCTCCTTCTTCTCCCATCAGAAGCTCTCCACAACCGAAGCAGAACGATGTACCGCAACGGCAAAAAACTTCATTACAACCTTCCTCTACCTAGAAATATTACTGTTATGATACTATCCCAACCCGGTGAACTGTGACCTCTACTCTTGCTAGAGACTGTAAAAGCACCCATAGCAAGTTAGATTATTGAATGAATCCGAAACGCCTAACGGACATTGAACGTCTAACAGCCCAAAAATGATAGATCCTTTTCGCGAGGGGATGCCTAATTTATGAACATATATACTTTTCCGAGAAGTCTATTAACTCCACCCCGCTACTAGGACGGAGTCTACAGTAAGCATCTAAAAGATTATCTCTAGCCGTTTTCGTAATGATTTCTCATGGCATGTGTTTAGAAAGATGCACAATGAACATTGATTACCACTACTTATCACAAGACATCCGCGGGATATGGGATGGATGACGGGAAACGAGCTACAGAAAACTCACCATGATTGCGACACCACAAGTCGGACAAGTTCTGGTGTACTTTTCAAGAAATTTCTGTGATCGTTTTTCGCTGAGTCCCAAAGCCTTGTCCATGACCTCCTGTCAAAGAATGCACTTATATACACAACTATTATAATTTCACAAGATACGATTACAACAATGTATTCACTACGGACACAAATAGCTGCTCGAAGTGTATGCTCAAATCAAATAGAATCAGCAACAAACGATGAGCGCCGTTAGGTCCGAGAGCAAATTCTCTACACGCAGATACCGACAAACCACATTCCAGGTGTTATTTTAGGTTTCGATATCGTTGAGCACAGAGAATTTGTGTTCTCCAAAAGTTAAAAACCGGGCAGTGGAAATTCTGTCCCCTGGCATTTCTTTTAGTCCTCACTATACCTCAAGTTTGTCAACACCTCCATACCACCAGGCCATCTCTTGGCGTTGATCATCTGTAGCAGCCAAGTACTCATCGACAGTGATTTCCTTGAACACCAAATTGCCTTCTTCGTCCTCAACCATTCGCGAGCCTACAAAAAGGTTCTTTTTCTTCACTCTGCATTATAGTTAGCCAGTTCCCAGTCAAAGATGCACATGATGTCAGGGCATCGTTCAATAGAAGCAATGACAGGGCATTGTACCCGCTTGGGATTGCATCTACTAAGGGAAACGGTGGGAATCATGTCTAACTGATCAGATTTTACCTTCATATTGACTATTATTCAACTCTTTTGATTCGAAAATGTTATCTTGAAGGTAACTGACCATGAACAACGTCATTTCAGTTCTAGAATTCTCAAAGCGCCATGTTTTCGACGGTTGCCCTTGATAGTGCCGTTGAGACATAAAATCGCTTACCAGCAACGACGGTCGCTCGGCAGGGATTCACTCCATGATAGGCGCGATGGCATTTTATACAGAAACTATAGTCACAGACCGGACAGATAGCCAGCAATGAGGTACTGAAACATCACGGAAGTGCTCATTACATTTTCGATGTAACCTCATGAAAAACCTGCCCTCGCGTTAAAATCGCGTTCAGGTTCCCGAAACTCACTCACCAACTTCTTCTAGGAGCAGGACTTTGGCATCGAGGACGAGGACAGAAAGCGATGTCATCGATACGGGCAAGAACGTTTGACAGGATGATCCTCTGGTAACGTTCAAAATGGTCCTGAAAAGAAAGCAGGTCTCGGAGAGCACATCCGAATAGGTTTAGCGTCAAGTGTTGTCCGGCTTGGTAGGCTGAGCATTGACAGTGTTGACAAGCTCACCAGCTTCTTAATGATTCGAATTTCGGGCTATAGCTGTAGCCCAGCTCATGCCATCCGAGCACTCTTACCTATGTCTACTAGCTGGGCTTCTAATGGTTTGAAGAGTGAGGCAGCAAGAGAGGTGAAGACGGTTGGTATGAGAGGCGGTTAAGACCCGGCGATCCATGACTTCCCATTGGATACGATTTTTGAGGTAAATCATCCAATAAGTAATAGGCAATTCCGATTTATAATGGAGAAGATTGTTTACTGAAATTGTGGTCCTGGAAACGTCATACACCCTCCGGTTCTGCATGAGAGAAAGAACCGCAGGGGACGGAGCTAAGGGAAATGTGCTGGAGCCAAATAGGAGGGGATGCCAGGTTTACCCGGCATCTGTCGGATTGCTGTTTTCTAGTTCGATTCGGTTCTCGGGTACACTAACCCTCCGCCCCTGGAGTATACTACGGGACCGACGCCAAACTATTCGAACATTGCCTATCAACAAGCATAGGTAGAGTAGAGAACATACCTCACCGACCAATTCTTCGATAAGCATTTCTGATGGATAAGATTCACAACGTGGTGAAAGACAAGACAACGGAGCAACCTGGAAAAGATCTAAATCAAATCCCTTCGTAGAGAACCTCCCTTCGAGCGACTAAATACTAAAAAGAAAGTTTCGGCAATCACCCGCATAGCCGTGAGCTGATCCAAAAAATACGTTCTGACGCATTCTTTGCAGAAAACATGACCACATGGATTGAACTTCACACACTCAGGTCCCGATTTATTATCGTAACACACCTTAAGCAATGATGTTAATAACTCTCAGACTATCACCATTTACATGTGTGTTATGATAGGTATCGATTTTTCGCGCGCCCATCGGCACCTCTTTATCACATGTTTGCGGTGAAAGTATCACGACTATCATGATTCAAGCTACTGTGAGTTATAACTTTCTTCTATGAGTTTCTATGAAAGTTGTATTGCAACGTTTATCTCTTGAAAAAATCTCAACTTTGCAGTACTTTATGTTTTGAGAGCTCGCTGAAATGTTGAACATTCTCTTGAAGACACCGATACGAGACCGTATAAACAGAGGCCTGGCGGGACGATGGAGAATTGACGATGGTGCATGACATCTGCGCATGAATTCATCCTCATTTTTTTCCTCACTTTCTGGTGCATGAATCTTCGTTCAAGGTGCATGACTCTCACTCATCTACTTATAATATCCATTCACATTTTGCATTTATGTTCTCTGTTACTTGTAACTATCCTCTTTCTATCCTATGGTTCATTATGCCCTATGTTGTTAGTTTGATGGCTTCCTTTTGAAGTTCTGGCATTATTACTCGATCGATTAACCTAAATTACTTGTTGGCTGGTTTAATTACCCAAGTTTGAGGTGCGATTTGGTTGGTGACCTAGATAAAGTGTGCAATATCTACATCCGCGTGGCACAGTAGCACGATATTTCTTTCAGAAAGTTGTAGGGGATGCGAGGCTCAACCGCGTTTCACGAAAAAAGCATGGCAAAAAAGTCCGTGTACCTCACAATCGTGCCAGCGTTGATTGAACGTTTTGTCCTCGTACTCCTTACATGAATTTCGGACGATATTCAACAAACTGATGCCAAACACATTCTGAAATTCACATCTGCTCATCTTCTTGAGTCATTTTCGCATGCCTCAAATTCTCCCGCAGTTTGACAGATTGGCTTTAGTGCTACATTGTACTATTCCTGCTTAGAGAGCTTCACTACGTGCCCACAGGGCTGGCTATGCACACTTCCTTCTGAGCGCTTTAGCGCCTAGTGTTAGAAAAGGGGATTGTCCCACTCCCAACTACATTTTCGCCAATACACAACAAAATCAATGTGATATTTCTCCGGCGGGGCCAGAAAAAAGCTGCGGGGTCAAAACCATTCGCCTTTTGTTCAATAGTATCTCAATTTCAAGACATACCCACAGAAACCAAACTCGGCAACGATTACGAAAGGTAACCCCGTCTCGCGTTGGCTAGAAAAAAATTTACAAACTTTTTTTACACGAAAATCGCTTCATTTTGCAAGTGCCTAGCGAATAAAGTAATTAATATCTAGGCCCAAGTAAGATCAATCCCCGAACTCCTTCCGTAGCATTAATTATTGGGCTCATATCAATACGGTACTCAACTTGAAATCGAACTGGTTTTATTGAATTTAGGAGTAGCGTACAAGCTCGGTAGCGGCTCTTTCTACAACTTGTTCCGAAACGAGCTCCATCAATCATCTTCGAGTTGAGGGTGGAGTTCGTGTCAGAGGGGCGTGCCTAGTTGAGTCGGCTCTCTGAGCAATACTTGTCCATCGAGCGGAAAAGCTTTCTTTCCTTTTTATGAGATGTGCAAAGACATTTCTATCGAGAAGCAAATGATATTGAAACCATCTCTGCTGGAGACTTCAGTATTGGTCCTCTAATCTCTACAGGTTCATAAATTTTAAACAGCATATGAGAATAGCCAGCTATCAAATTAAATTGGAAGAGGGTTTGTAGAATGACTCACGTTCTGTGTGCTGTAGGGATTTCCGTCGAGGCAAATTTCCTTCAAGTCACATTTCTCAATGAAATTTTTCACCGCATCACAGCAACGCAGCAGGAAACAAGGATCCGAAGTGTTCTTTGCCAAAACTTCCAGGTGATCATGGATTTCCTCAGCCTGAAAGAGAACGGTTCTTCTAGACGGATCCTCTTCTGAGCTTTATCTCTGAATGCAGCTCTAACCCACCAAGTTTGCAGTTGACCAAAGGCTCTGCAAGCTCAGGTCGATGGGTGTAGTTGGATAATCGACAGGAAAACGAAACACCAAACCGATCGGTGAAAGCTGTTTTGTATTGAATGATTGGCGTCCTGAAATCACTTAACTTACTAAGGAGAAGCGTAGAAGGCAAATTGTCATGCAAAAAGTATTGCAAAGAAAATTGGGAGCGGTGGGGAGTGGGAAGAGAAGAAAAAGTGGGAAAGACTGGTAACTGCACGACCGAGTGATCACAAATGCACTCTACCGTGATTACTCTTGCCCAAGACAACAGACCCACAATCCTTGAGGGGTAGGAAGGTAGGAACCAGTGCTCTTATCAACGCCCCCAAACTTACTCTCTCTTCATTATCTTCTCCTTCCCACTTCTCTTGGTGTTTTCCTTTTTCCCAGCTGCTCAAATCGCTTTCTTTTGATCTTGCTAGATTGAAAAGCCTGCTAACGAATCGATCAATGAAGACAGAATGAACTTCAGAAACTAGCAGCAAACTAGCATGAAAAGGTAGTTCATAATATCGAGCAGAAGGATGTTTCCGAAGCAAAATTCTTTCTTCTCTATTTTCAATACAACTAGGTACTTTTCAATGAGAACACCACTTTTTCTCAGCTCATACTGATGGGTTGAATAGGAACAAACTTTTTCAAGGGAGGAATAGTGAAGGACAAGCTGATTAACGTAAAGGAATCCCGATGCGCAGCGGTCCTTAGCTAGTTGTCTCGTCGTGCACTATGACACAGTTGGTTGCTTTTGCTAGCTGTCTCGCCGCGGAGAAACTTTAGTTGTTGACTGAGCCAAGGACTTAATTGTTGACCCGGATGGGTAATTCTTCTCTGCTCTAGTATTAAATGGTTCGAAGCTAACGTTGGCAGGCCATACTTCCACAGAGACGGCTCTTCTGTGCGAGATAATCCGGACAACTCTATAACAAGTCCCACAGAGAACGAAATCCCCTTTATGTTCTTGTCTACTTCGGGTACCCCAGACCAAAATGTTTTAACGAGATTCATAGGCATTAGTATTCTTCCAGTACTGCGTTATCAGGTGACGGAGGTTATAAGAATAGGTACGGTATTACTTCTCTAGCATGGGCACACAACGAAGTAGATGATCCTACCCTTTTCTGCCTTTTGCACTTGTACTTAATGAATAAAGCACAAATCATATCAAATGGTAATCATACCTTCTTCAGAGTCGACGTATAAAAGGATAGGGTTCGTCTTTGGCTCCAGTTCAATAGATACACTTCCTTCTAATAATTCACGACTGCGATCAATCTTCACCAACTCCTCTCCATAAAAAGCTACAAGCGCTTCAACTTCTTCCTCTTGCTCTTGTGAAAAGACTTTGGGCATTAACCTTATAGGTTAGAAAGAGCGATAGCTGTTCCTGAAGAATACCTACTACAGGTCGATTCCAAGTGTTAAAAGCACATTACGCCATGAATGTATTGACCTGTCCCTTCTGTATTCATAGATGATTCGCTCCTCATAACCCATCTCATGAGAGGAAGAAACAACTCGTAGGATCAAAATTACCCGCTGGCCATACGTTCATCAGGTAACGTGCCTTTTAGGTCCTTATTATGAGAGCTTTCTGACAAACGATTCGCGCAGAGAAAAAGGGAAAAGAACAGAAGAGTAGCAAGCCATAGATGTAGGAAGGAACGATGGTGAAACAAAAAGTGAAATAAGTAAAACAATGGCAAACAATTTACAATAATAGTGGTTACTAACCAGTACCTTCTTTTCTTATGGAAAGTTCTTGAAAATTTATTTTCATCTTTTCATCAGTCACCGAATTCAAATCAACATGTATGTATATGGAAAATAATGGGCACTATACAAAAGCTATACACAAACCACAGAGGGAGGTATGCCAAAGCCCTTTGTGTCAATCGAACAAAAACCTACTTTCACTACGAATCAGTACTATAAAACTACCAACTTCTTGTCGATACCCTTCGTGATTCCATGCTACGATTAGGTGACTTGTCCGTGTTACTCTACGGCATCTAACGACAAAAACGAAGCTATGATGTAGCATGGAGCTCTAAAGGGATTACTGTAAGAACTTACTTAGATCTGTACTGAACTTTAGTTATTGGGTTGGCCACTTCTTCTTAGAATCCAGATATTTGAGACGATTGGAAAAGTCTAGAAGACGTTTTCAAGCCAAGAAACCAAGTGTAACCAAGCACTTATAAAAACTGGAAGATTAGACTTAAGCGTCTTATCCCTGCACAACAGTTCACTCTTGAAACGGTCTTTGACCCCAATAAATTTGTTTACAATAGAAGACCGATTAAACATAAACAACAACAAAAACAAAATAGCGGTACCCGAAATAAGTTTACCAGAACGTTTTCTAGATGGGCCTAGTTACAGGTGCTATGGGGCAAAAAACTGTTAAAAAATCTACTTTCAAGAAAGAATCAAAGCGTCTGAGGCAAATGTGCCATTACTACTGAAAATGAATCAAAGAGAAAATGCTAGCCTTTTAACGTGATATAGCATTTTGGTGTACGACATAACTCAAAAGAATGTCAAGTCAGTCAACAAATCAGCTCTAGGCAAAACGGACATAATCTTTTACTACAGTGTGGTTTTTGAAAGCGAATTTGTATACGGGCAACGTTAGACCTAACTCTTTAACACCGCGCGACGACTCTTAGATAGTTGTCTCGCGGCGCAACAGGGCGCTTGAATCTAACCCTAGCCGATGTACTTGGGAGGCGATAGAACTGATAGTAAAATATTGAGCCATGTTACAAATTATGCAGAAAATGTAACCGTCTCTAGCTCCCGTCTTATCCATCAGAAGTTTGGAAGAAAAGGGAAAGGTTGCCTGACACTGGAAAGACCCGCAAATCACTCCTAAATCGTCTTCCATTTCGATTATCAGCAGTGATTAGTCCCCGAGTGGAATCTGCGGTCCCGCTCCTTGGCAGTCCTGAAATTTTTGAATCTTTCTACTTCACACTTCACATAAATTACCAAACCAGAAAGGAAAGCTTTCAAAGAATCTAAGGCAACAGGCACGACAATTTTGAAAAGCGTAAATCAAATAGGCGCAGAATGTGAAGTAACAACTATTTATGGCTCTGCACCAGCGAAAGGGTCTCGATTGGGGCCGCATTAAGCGACTAAAGAGGAGAAGATAAGGGATGGATAAGGCCCTACATAAGTCCTCCACTGGTGGGTCCGCCCTCAAATAAGCTACATATGATAGGCGTCTTACACCCCCTCCCCTCTCCCACCTATCCACCCCGTTTCCGTCCCCCTCTGTCTATCCACCACATGCTACTGTGCGTCTCCGTCCCCACGTCTCCACAAAACTCAGGGGAAGTAGAGAGAGGTATGTTTATGGGAGCCATCTCATAGTTTCTTTATAACTATAGAATCACTTCCTCCAATTTGTGTCTCAATATTATTTGTGTCCACTGCCTTCGATTCTACAGAGTTGATCCAACAGTATGAACAAACCGGAGAATCCGTGAAATGTCTATAGTAATGTCCATCAAGAATCGCGTCACAGTTCCAACAAAAATGTGTATCGCACATCGAGCACACCATCATATTGCACCCGGACTGCCGCTAAAAATCATAATCGATCTTCGTTTTACAACACTATTGGCTGCTTTCATAGTCCGCCGTCCGGCCCACAAGCGCTCGAGTGGGCGGGCGAGCGACCGGGGGCGGCGCTTGCCCCTTGCTTACAACTGAATCTTGGTCGATACTGAAGGGCGAGTAGTCCCCTGGCCGGCTCGCGCGCTCGCTCGCGGACTATGAAAGCAGCCATTCATGGTCTTCGCTCGACATTCACCACGGATCATTTTGACTTTCGTTCTTCATGAACAGCTGAATCCTTTCTTCAAATTCAGCTCTCATGAAAGATGCATGCACCAGTTTTTGAATAGCATCACGCATCTCTTACCCTCAGTTATAGAGCAGTAAACAGACACTGGAACTACAAGTGGTACAAATGCACTACTTCTTGCGTATCACAGAAAGCAAACACAACTCTCTGCGCTTTCCCGTCTCATAAGAGAATAGATGGGACAGGACATGAGTAAATTTTTAACACGCCTTTGGTTAAATATACTTGCCTTGCCTGAAAAATTAATTTTCTGGATGTTTCCAGACAGAATGGTGACCGAAATTCAAATAGGCAAAGAGTGTTTGGGACATGAAAATGCTTGTCTGGGAAATTCTGTTTCTCGGCTTTATTACAAGCTGTTTTTAAGATCTTTTTTAAAGCCATTTCTTACCTGTATTGGTATATTGCATTGGGGGCATCTCTTGCTGTGTCCTTGCATCCAAGCATAGGTACGTGCATCGACCTTTTTGAAAGCTTTTTCCATTTTCGCCTAAACCTCAAGAGTATGTGGCACAAATTACTGGAAATGAAGAAAAATGGAGTGGGCCTGTCCAGAGTCCATCTCAAGAAAGAAGTTAACAAGGTCTTATGGGAGGGTCCCGGCTGAAGGTGGTGAGGCTCTTAAAACTATAGACAATCTTCGTTCGAAGCCCTAGAAAATTTCACACGAGCTTTTGAAACCGAACTTGAGTTTGATTTTGCCAAAAGGTCAGGTGTGGGGAAGATTGCGTCTGTTTGTAAATCTGCAGTTGTCTTAGATCAATACTACGGGGAAAAGTGACACAATTCTGTCTTCATGGTAAGATAGTGAGAGTGTCAATTACCTACACATAAAGTTTCCAAGAGAAACCGACACGGGTTCAGGCTCGGGTTGCCTATGGGAACATTACAAAAGAAATAAAATTGAAAAGGGCTCACTTCTAAATTTTCGATACCACCGTAGAACTCAGCCATTTTCAGTCGGTCCTCTTGTGAAGCCAAAAGGTACTCTTCAAACGAAACTTCCCTCAAACCCCATGTACCAAAGCATGGATGGACCCCATGATAGCCATGATAACAAGCGGTACAGAAGTTATAACCGCAAACCAAACATGTTGCCAAGTACTCGGTCCTGAAAAATCCCTTGATGACCTCTAGAGTAGATAAGTGAGGAAAAAGGGGATTACTTCCGTTTGCGGTGTTACATTGAGACCAACACCGTAGGAAGTGAGTACGTATTCAGGGATCAGAGCTCCGCAGTATGGTCATTTTTCAAAAGATTCCAATACCTAGTTCATCGCGCATTGTGAGGTCAAATTTGAAAACGTGGATACTGTTTGCCATGTACTTATAGTCTCAAACGTCCCTACAACAGGAACCCTCAGAAGCCCCACCCCTTCTACAGAAAGAAAAACAAACTCGCACCAGATCCTAGTGAAGAAATATTAATTCAAAGCTAAAGAAACGGACGCACTAACGTCTCACTAATGGCAGACGGTTTCTGGCAAGAAATTCTCGGACATGTTACCACGTCATCCATTCTCTCAAGAGCTTTCTTCAGTAAGATTCCCTCATAACGATCGAATTCTTTCTGCAAATGAGGCAGATTCGTTTGATTCCCTGGTAACCGACAGCTTTCAAAAAACTAAGTGAGCGAGACCACAAATGGGTACTCACTCAACTAAAGCGAACGTACCTGACCAAGCAATTCAATGATGACTTTTTGCGAAGCACTTGACTCACATTTATCTGCAAGGCAAGTGAGAGGTGAAACCTGTAAATGTATAAGGTCACGGAGTAAATGTCATGCATTTGCTTAAAGAATTTGAAGTAATCGGCACAACTATCAGCTAAAATTCCTCCGTTTCCATCAGAGCCTATGAACCTGAGATCTAAGGGCTCTTTCTTCTATTCAGATCACTTCAAGTCCACAAGAAATCAAAACTGGACCAAAGTCAGTGGTCCGATGATTTGTATCACAACAGATCAGCTCATGTGATTGTGACTATTAGTTTAAACCAAACCAACTAAATCAAGGTTGCCGAGTATCTGGACAGGAAGACACTCTAAATGCACATATGTGATGGTCCCTCAAAACGTAAGAATTCCTTCTATGAGGGAGACAGTCCGTTACCAGAGTGTTTTGGAGGACTGCCTTCAAATTGTTTGAGATGGGAAGGGGAGCGGGAAGAGAGAGTGATAAAATGTGTGGATAAACGACCACCCCTATTTCAATCTTGGGAGGAACTTATGACTGAGCCCCAGATCATGAAGAAGTAAAAGAAGAGTCTCAATGGAGCAAAAACGAATGCTGCAGTGGGTCTTGCCTTCTGAGATGTGAGCTTCTCCTTGAAGAACGCCTTGACGCAGTCTTTACAAAATGAGTGACCGCAAGGAAAGAATCGTACGCAGTGACGACCCGCTTTATTTTCGAAACATACCTAAAATCAGTATCGAAGTTCTCATATGAAAAACAGCCCTCACAGATTCGATATTGATGCCAGCATCGAAAGTATCTCGTTCCGAGCTCTAGAGCTCTATTTCGTACACTTTTTCAGAGATGGAAAACCCGTCCGGACTTCTGGGACGCAAAACACATTCTACTCTCATCCAAATTAAACAAGTTTTCTATGTAACCCTCTTCTATGCAGTTATTAGCAAAATCCATCTAGTAATGCTCTATTTCTATGTTCTTCCAAAGTATGTATGCGATCGATCAAATCAAAAAAAAATCGAACTTGAATTTCAAAGTAGAAATAGAAGAAACCCATCTAGAATACAACCTATGGAGAAAGTAACAAGGCAGTAGGGGAGTCCACATGTGGCATTAATGCGACCAAAAAGGTAATGGGAGCGGACAAAATTATCTAACACCATGCTGAAGCGAAGCAAAACATTTCAGAGTTTCTTCAAATTGGTATGAAAGAAAACTTCACTCTATTACTCACCTCACAATCGTGACATAGTGCTGAAAACGCGTCCATTTCTGCCTTCTCGCTTTCTTCTCGTACCAACTTCAACATCTCCAGGCCGCTTAAGTTCTGAAATCAGGCTTCCTCTGAGGTTGCTGTCAATTTGTATAGGCGAATATCTCTGCTCACATGTTTTTGTGAAAAATCCTTGGAGTTAAGGCGAATTTCAAACGTTCCCATTTCGGCGACAAATCTTTTTATGGCATCGTAACACAAAAACAACACCGGAATACCCATGTTTGCTTGGAGAACGTCATCAATGCGACATAGCAGATTCTCCTTCTGAGAAAAGTGAATTAAGGAATATCATAAACAATTGCTTACACATGTGCAATCGGTTGTGCATGAAGTACGTAAGTGCTAAGTCGTTATTTAAGTGCGAACCATAGAAGTGGACATCCATATGCTTTCTACATCAACCTTGGGCATCTTGGAAGGGTAGCCAACTGGTAGCCGGAAATGAAAGTCAACCGGAGGCAAATGCATGGTTTCGAATTGGCGATAATCTGTAAATAGAAATTCATTATGGAGCAAATCCAACTAACATAAATATGCGCTCATTTCATAGGAAAATACACTGTATAAAATAATTCTGACTACATCCTGAAGAAATTGATAAAATTGATCTCACTACTAAACTACCTACCTTTGCCATCCTCCGCGGAAACGAGAATTGGTTTGGGGCTCGGATCCAGGGCTACCGAAATGGTGCCTTGTAATTCATCATCCCCTTCTTCGATTGTTATATACTCCTCTCCTATACTACTGACAAGAGCAGCAACTTCGTCGAAGAGGTCTTGACGAAATTGACCTTTCATGGAATAGGAACCTGAATCATCTGAATCACTTACACTTAAAAATCAACACTGAAAGACAACAAGATAAGCACCTGGAAAAGCAAATCCTCTTATAATAATGAATCATCAAATCTATGATTAGTAAGAAGTTTCCGGAATCACTAATAGTTTACATACTAAAGCAAGTACCAAAGATACTGAAGATAAAAAAAGATAAGTTTTGGGGCGTAGATCAATCCCGTCAGAGGGACGCGCCCACGCAATCGACTTCCGTTCAGGATCGTAGTGGCGTATTGCACGCGCATGCTACCTTTACAATGACTTGCGGTGGCCAGCCGATGAACAGGTCAGTGCTTTTATCCTCCCCGACAGGTACCGATTGACCGACCTCGGAGGGATGGAAGGCTTGGATGTCCTAGGAAGATATTAATCCGGTAATTGAACCCGTGAGCATTCATGTGTGAATAAGCCTTTTGTCACTACACCGCTGAATATAAAATTATGAATTTATACCCAACGATGATCTGACCAGATTACACTCTGCACTGTGGATAAGAAGGGCTTCGATGCACCCCGCTTTCTATTTCCATTCAGAAACATTATGACGTACAAACTAGTATTTAGCCTGTATGGGGATTTCTCCTCACCTATGAGCCGGAGATAGACTATCCGGAGTGATAGACACTGCGGTTAGGCAGTGCGAGATGTGAGCCGCCCCGGGCCACAGTGGTAATGGCACCAACTGCCTTTGCCTTACCTCTTCATAAAAACAAACAGAAAAAAATAACAGAAAGGCAAAATATAAATATAACCATTCCATAGTAAAGAAGATCAATTAGAGACTGAGACTTACAATTCAAGCGATAGAGAACACATTATCTGTCACCCTTCCACCAACACAGAGGGAGCGAATTGGGTATGGGAATGCAGCGCAGAGAACGTTTCAGTGTGATGTTGCACTTGATAACTCGGAAACGATGAATCATCGCTATTTCTCGATCTATCAACCCTTCTGTCAACAATGAGTAATTGTTATCTAAATATTCTCAGGAGTTTTTGTAGTTTAGATAAATTCACGATTACTTTTTCAACTGTTTATCTATGTTACGGTGACTAGTGGATCAGAGCCGATTTGAGACAGGCTAAACAGCTTAGTTATTGTGAAATAGAAGCATTTTAAATTTTATGGCTCCGGACTAAACTAGAGATGGTATTAACTTGAAATTGAAAGTGCCAACTCCGAGACCCGAACCCGTCCAGGGAAACCTAGCTTCCTGTTATTTCCAGTGTTATCGATACTCGACTTTCCAGTAGAAAAGCCTAGAAAATCCATCGAAATGTTGTTGTTGTTGTTGTTGTTGTTGTTGTTGTTCCGCGCATGACTTTTATCACTCTTACCATATGTACCAGTCATTTCATATGTGAATCCAAACGGAAATCGAACACAACTTGTATAGTCGATGGATTTTCCAAATATTATAAACCACAGACCAGACCCGACCAGTCAGACCATCCTTTCTTATATTTGAATTTGAAAATGAAAAAGAAAACTAGTGACAGAGTTATTGAATAGGCGTTCAACAATCCAAGACTGAGGGCAAGCTAGAAAAGTTTTTCTACTTCTCAATTCTCAAAAAAATACCGAAAAGTAAAATACGATGGAAGGGAAATTTGAGGGGAGTGGTGGAGGAAGTAAGAAGATGGATTTATGTAGGCCAAGAAGTTCGCCACAGCGCGACACTGACTCTGCCGACATCTCCTACCGTCAGCCAGTAGAAACATTGGCCCCGCCTCAGTTGTGCAATATTGCCCTTGATTAGACAAATACTTTGTTTTTTGCCTAATTCTATCCGAAAGTACAGAGTGAACGTAACAATGACTCATTCAAAACATAGAGTTGACTTCCTTTTTTACCAGAGACAGAAGGCTACCCTTTTTCGCTTGAAAAAATTATCGAAGCCAATAATGGCGAGGAAAACAGCATTGGGTGACGTGTGCACTTGGAAACAGATGATGGGTGAGTCATAGGAAATCGTTACCCATCTCTCTGCATTAACAGCGGTAACCCAGAATCGATAGAAAGTTATAAAATACAGTAGCACAATGGCTCGTTTGGCTGCTAATGATATTGTCTGAGTGGGAGTACACCTAGATCACATTCCGTGCATTATCGATAACCCGCATCCTGCAGATTCTCTATGATTCTTAACGATATCGAAGGGTAGGGCTCTTCTTGGGAAGTCTACGGCGGAAAGAAAAGATAACTCAGTTCATATCTGTGTAGAGAGGTAGACTATCGACACTCTTAGGAAATTACCGAGTAGGAACTGAAGAAGTGCCCGTGGTTATAGTGCCTAGGCACTAAAGAACTGCCTGATTTCATGGAATTTTGACATGCTCATATATCTTTTCAGATTACTAAATATCAGTGACTCGCGATGAACAAAATTGAATTAAAAAAAGGAAATAAAAAGGAGCAATGGTGGAAATGACGTAAAGAATAGAACATGATCAGATAAAAGGCTTTTTCCATTGAAACAGGCCATCGACTCCACTAACCTCACAGACTTCTCTCAGTGACTCATTTGCGTCGCCCCGGTCGTGCAGTATTGCTTAATTCCTGGAAAACATTCTTTTTTCATTTTTTCGAAACGAAAGTCATACAACGAATAGACTTTGATCGGAAACAGTACAGTATGAAGAGACTAAGCTGTGGTTCAAGGGCGATTCGACTCTAGCAAGGCAGCTTTGAAAAAATATCCTATTTGCTGTAGAACTTCTTCATACCATATTCGTACCAAATGCTCTCAATCCCTCTTCCAACATCAGCTTCGACGGAGATTGTCTCTCACATTCATCCTCGTCGTAGCTTATGTTGGTGTGTAGGGAACACTGTTATCATGCATGAATTGAGCAACATATTCTCGATGTCTAATTGAAGTCGTCCAATTCGCGTACCGACGAATACCTATGCCGCTAACGCTTTTGCGATCATACGTTCCACAAAATGTCCTCTCTTCTGCTTCGTATACGGCGAGTAAGGAGCCATGCTTTCTTTTCTCGACCAGTCAGATGGCTCAGAACACTATTTTTTCTAGTTGGGTCTACGTTGTCAAAACGACACTTTCCACATCTCACTTTGGGTTGTCTGCAATGGCCCAAAAATTCAACAGTCACTCCCAAGCGATCATTCCCAACAGTAGCAGCATATCACATCATAAAACTTTTTTCTGCATTCCACAAAATTCCTGAATACAGTTATGAATATTTGATCTAAGCCCTGCCCTTTTTAGTGCCAACCCCGCCCACTCCTGGGGTTTAACCACAATTGCTCTTCAACGCACATTCGGCCCATTGTGGGCGGAGCCTCCCTAAGTTTACGCATGCCCAGCACGCATATGGCCTTGCCCATTCCTCTTATCTTTTTTTAGCCTCCACGCTTTCAATGACTAATCACCTAATCAGTGAATACATTACGGAGGAACTGGAAAATGTCACTCTCCAACAATTGAGTTACGAAAAATAAGGGTCAAGGAATGAGAAACCCGCACATCCAACGGCGAATTCAAGCCATTTTTGCTGCTGTGTCACAATAATCGGAAACTGAGACCAGCATTTTCGTTTTGTAAGTTATTCGCGTGATTCGAAGAATCACTACTCCACGATCTTCAATACAAATCACCTTATGAAGCATTCCTACAGACAAGCGGTGAAAATGTTGTTTGGGTAGGATGTCACACATTTCACCTCATCGTCTATGCTCTCGCAACAAAATTATATTCGCTGATCATTTTCCATTGGATTTCAACTGTTATATGCGTTCTGCACCACATCCAATTTTTACCACCCAGAACCAAAAGGTGGATTTGATGGAAAATGAACTGACCGCCTCTAAAGTGTCAAACCAACAGCACCCCAGTGTAAGACGCAACCCTTTACGGCACCCTAACCTTGGTACCTATAGATGCGATGACCTCCCAAGATTTCATCATTTGCTATCAGAAAAAGCCTAACTACGCATACCAGCAGAGTGCACATTCAATGACTCCTTACAAAAAGATCTACCTGCCGAAACTAAGACTGTGAAAAACTCCTGGAGCTGGAAAAGTAGTTGAGAACGCTTCTATTTGTCAGATTCGTTCCTCATTGCGAATGTTCAATATAATGGTGGCGTGAGAGATATGAAATCAGTCCTGAACATCCTACTTTATATAATTCGCTAAGTGTGTCTGTTGGTGTGTCGGTGTGTTTGTGTGTGTGTGTGTGTGTCGGTGTGTGTGTTTGACCGGAAATTCATAACTCCTGTTCCAGTGGACCTAGAAAGCCCAAATTTGGTAGCAGTACATAGGGCAGCAAGCAAACACTTATGGCAGGTAACAGGGCCAGACTCCGCTCACAGGGGGCGGGGCGTGCGCGATAGAAGTTTTAGGTCGCAAATCCATAACTCCTGTTCCATGGAACCAAAGCCTTAAAATTCGACAGGAGTACAGCGGGCGGCATGAAAACACTTACGGCAGGTAGCAGGACCGGAATTCGCCTACGGGGGCGGGGCGTGCGCGATAGAAATTTTAGGTTGCAAATACATAACCCCTGTTTACGTGGACCTATAGAGTTTAAATTCGGTAGGAGTACGGGGACTAGGATGGGAACACTCATGGCAGGTGGCAGGACCAGACTCAGCCTACAGGGGGCGGAATTTGTGCAGAGTAAACATTTGAGCGGAAATTCGTGTCTTCTGTCTCTGTGGACCTGTAGAGTTCTAATATGGTAAGATTACAGCTTTTCGTATTAACAGTGGAAACTTGGCTTTNAGGGTGACCAAAGGAGTGGTGAGTGCTGTTATAGGGACCATTAGCGGCATTACGAGAGGCAGATTAGAATTCTGTTCATTTCTTATTATTAGATAACGACCGCTACACAGCAAAGTTTGTGACTTGATGAAGGATCCTCATTGTTCGATATCATTTGCAACAAAATTAACCGACCGCCAGTTATTTGGAACTTCTAACTAATGTTATCTC